ACTTAGCTCGATATACGGCTCGTGAGTTGAAGTCGATGAGGTAACAAACAAATTTAAAGCCAGCTTCACTCGTTAACTGTGAGTCTACTTGTTTAAAAAATATCAGTAAAAAATGCACCTGTAATATAATACAATATTTTAAGTGTTAATTATAAATTATTCAAAATTTTAAAAATTATGAATTATTTTAATATTAAAGTCGTTTCTTATTATTTCTTATATATATATATATATATATATATATATATATATATATAAAAATGTTTTTTATTTTTTTTTATATATATATATATATATATATATATATATATATACATTCTTGCATGTATTACTTATCCCTTATTTTATGAGGTTTTTTTTGGATTTGATTACCTTTAACATTTCATCTTTTAGATTCTCTAGTCTTTGGCCATTTATTTAGCTTGCATTTTTATGAGAGGCTAATTGAATTTGATTGGTAGATTTGACAGTTGGATTAATTGATGCTACATAATCAAATTAATTATGCATTATAAAGGCTAATATTGGTATAAAATGTGGATGATTTGCCCCACTCATAGGCTACAAAAATATTTAAAGTTTAAAATGAATTAAATTATTAATATTTTTTTATTTCTAACCATTCTCTAAAGCAAACTATACATCAACAAAGCCATACTATTATTTTATTTAATAGTTTTCATGAATTCAAATCCAAGTTATTAATTTTCAATTCCTTCCAAAAGTATTTGCTTTTTGCAAATATCATAAATTTTAATTTGCAAAATTTACCATGATAAATAGTGCTTCTCAAATTCTCTAAATAATTTATTGAATTTTTCTTTATTATTAGTTAATATTTATAGATCAAAGAAATAGGCAAAAAGAAAAAAAATATATATAGGCTTTGCTAAAGAAAACTATGGTGTCTTATAGGCCTATGTATTATTTTTCTTGAGTCTACTTTGCATGATAGCCAATGTTAGTGGGACTTCTAGTCTCTCAAGCAATAACATATGCACTTATACTTCCACAAACATTGGTGAGTCACATATTTATTTACATTAAAAAAATCTTTATTTAAACTAAAAAAATATGTGGTTCATTTATTTTCATTGGGAATCACACCTTTTTAACTTATATAAATAAAATTTTTTTTTTGATTAAATGTTTTTTTAACATAAAATCATAATCATTCAATCATGTTTACAATATGCACTTTTTACTGTCAAGTGTTGTTCAAGGTGCAGGGACATAATTTCTTTAATGCATTATTTGTGAATGACAATGCATCATAATTAGTATATAATTTAAATTAATTGACTAAATGAAAACTTTGGCCCTCCTCACTAATATTGCATGTTATCTAATATATAATTTGTCTAATGACATGCATGGAAGGCATAATCCAAAGCACCATCAACAAAAAAATTAGGAAAAAAAGTGAATAAATGCATGAAGCTCTCCAATTATTTTATTTATATCATGTTGATCAAATATTTTAAGTCTATCAATGCACTAAACTTGCATAATATATTTATTTATAATATATTAAATTGGTTCTACAATTCAACATTTACCCTCTTTTTTGGATTAAATATATTTTTAAAATTTGTTAGTAAAAGGAAAATTAATTGCTCTCATTGATTTTTCTCTCATAATTAATAGTAATTAATATTTGAAGTGATTAAATGCGGAGGACAAAATGGCAGCTAGCCGAGAAGAAGTGATGGATGGAGAAATGAGAGGCAGAGAAGAAGATGTATTATGGTGGTAATTAAGATAATTATTAGTGGAATGATTTACGAGATGAAAGAAGAATTAGATGATTAGATTATGGTAATTAATATGTAATTAGTGAACCATATAAACTCTAATTAATTAGTTATTGATGCATGTGGAGTTTTACTTTTTGCTCATGGGATGTACCTATATATATATGTGAAAAAATTCACGGCGAAAAATGATAATATATCGAGTCTTTTAATCACATTCATCATAAAATGCGATAAATATGTTGTCATGTTAATACATTTGGTGCAGCGAAGAACAAAATAATATATTATAAAATGCAACTAATATTATAATAGAGTTAACTTAATATTGATATTTTACATATTATTTTTTAGCTGAAATAAAATTTGTTCTATATTTTCTTATTTTGTCTTTTTAATCTAATATAAAATACATCAGGATTTAACGATGCATTTTCCCAAACACTCTTTGCATAACGGGCCTCCAGCCCATCCATTAACGTTTTGATGGGCTTAAATCTAATTGCAAAAGTCTAATAAGATTTACAAATCAAGAGGTCTTAATTTCTTTTAAGGAGAAAATTTTGCCATGGATTGTTATGTTAGGAGAATTATTTGATAGTTTTCCTTATTATGTCCAACATTTCTTTAATAAACAATTTGAGAAGTCAAAAGATCTTAAAAGTGACCTTAAGATCATATACTTGTTTGGATCAAAATGATATATGTTTATGCATTATTTATAACGAATTTCAAGCACCACCATGTAATTCTGATGTATTTATATATCTAACACCTAGATTCTTCCACGACCCCCACGAAGGGAAGGGTCCTCCCTTAACTCGATGAACTACGAGAATTCTTGTGGTTGCCTAGTTGTTGTCAGTTTTCATAAGTCCTAGATAGACTACTTCGTTAACACTAGCTGAAACCCTTTACTTGACCTCCACCTTATTCTATGATATTTGTCAACCCGGTTATTAGCGAAAGCGGTTGCCACTATCTGGTCTCATCAAACCTCATCACGCAGGTGGAGGCTAGACCGTCTGTAGTCTTGAATTTATTCATATTTATAATATTTTGGTGCTATAAACTTATATATGAAAATAAATATTTCATTTTTAAATGAGAGTAACAATATTGTTTTTATGTGATCTTAAAGAATTAGGTATTATGCATATAAATATGAAAATTTGGGCATTAGAAGAGTAAATATTGAAGATTAGTTTTTGTATGCATGTAATGCCATATTTATGTATATGTTAAAACTTGAAAAAAACTAAATGAGTACAAATTAATATTGTCTTATCTTTAGATTTTGGTTGTGATTTTTTTTTCTATTCACCATACACATATATTTGTAATAACATTTTTTACATAAAAGTTGAAATAAGAATCTATTAAATGTTAATGTTTGAGATATGGATAGGAATTGACCAACATTATTGCAAGTTTTCATTGCATTTGTTGTAATGTGAATTGTATTCATTTATTGTCGAGTAATGTACACTGTTAATACATTTTAGATGTGATTTACATCGTGATGTCAAACATTGATATTCCCAACGTATTACATTACTCCCTTAGTAGAAGTTACGTTGATAACTGCACTCGTGTAGTATTATTTCTAGCTAGTCAAAGGTCAGTAAAGTTTTTTAACCTACATAGATATAGTTATTTAACCTAAAGAAGCAAATGAATCAGTTAGAGTCGATCAGGATAGTCTTTAAGCTATAGCTTGTTTATAAAATTAAAGCTTACGTTTAAATCGAGCTATTATTTTTATATTCAAATTTGATTCATTTATTATTATAATTATTTGGATTTAGTCATTATTGAGCAAATTTATTAGTATTATTATCAAAATTTTCTTTTATTTCTTACCAAACAAACTTTATCGGGCAAACTTATAAATAATGTGATCGAGCAACTTATCTTCTAATAAATTGAGCTTTTGCAAGCTTTTGTTAAGCTTGATAAAATAAATAAGCCATAAAATGAATTATTTACTATAAGAATAATTAAAATAAATATATCATTTACAAAAGAAGTAAACAACTAAACAAATTATTTTTAATCAATTTTATTCGCAAGCTTTAAATTAAAAATTAAATAATCTTATTCACAGGCTTTAAACTTGTTGAGTTACCCTTGCCTTGACAATAGCCACCGTAGATGTAGAAGAGAACCGTATCGGCCTGATGTCCGACCCATCGTACAGCCTGAACTTAAGTTCTAGAAAATCCTCCTCCGACATCTGATCCCCCACCCTCATTGACCTCCGATTCACAAGGAAACACCACCAGCACAAACCGATAGCAAAAAGACCCCCACCTCGCCGATCAAAGTAACAAATCAGAGCACCTCTTGACGCCGGAGGATGGCCGAAGGTATCTGATATCGCTGATTAGAGTTTCGTCTGACCGTGCAAAGAGGATTTTTATCACTGAGGAAGACGACAAAGCGCAAAGAAACCAAGCTTTGAGTTGCGAGGTGGCCCGTAACGATGCTTCACTTCATGCACAAACGTACCGTATTCTACTAACAGATTTGCTAACGTTTAATCCAACGAACAAAACAATAAGTTATTAAAGTTAGTTTATTTGATAAAGAAGTATTTATAAAAATATTGAAAATTATTCAATCAATGAATCAAATAAATACTAGGCTTGCAGCCCAACCCAGCCTGGATTATGATGAGCCCAACACTATAAGCCCATTGCATTCAATCCATTGAAGGTTCGATAATTAACGCGGGCCACATGTCGTCGTCTTCCCCACGTCGGCGCCGCCCCGCTAGCCCAAGTACATTGTGGCACGTTAGCAAATGCACCGGCCTTCGAAACCGATCCCAGCCGTCCAGGTGGTCCCGTGACTTGTGGGTCTCACGAAGGCCGTACAGCCTCAGCGCCTTGGCCCCTCGGTCTCGTTCGACTCTCCATTGGCTCGTAAACCACTTCCTCTCTAAAATGACCCAAATAAAAGACTCGGTTCGGCGGAGGATTCTCAGCCACATGTTTCGGTGGGTGAACAACATTTTTTTTAATTTTGCCCCCCGGGAATATCTGGTCATTAAAGGCATGCTAACCAGACAAAGCGGTTCGGTTGACTCGTCAAACAGCAACAAAGTTCAACCAAAACATAGACGCCACGTCATCAAGTATTTTAATTTGATTACGTGGCAAAAATCTGTTAGTAGAATACGGTACGTTTGTGCATTAAGTGAAACATCGTTACGGGCCACCCCGCACCTCAAAGCTTTTGCGCTTCGTCGTCTTCCTCAGCGATAAAAATCCGCTTCGCACGGTCAGACGAAACCCTAATCGGCGATACCAGATACCTCAGGCGATCTTCCGGCGTCGAGAGGTGCTCTGATTTGTTACTTTGATCGGCGAGGTGGGGGTCTTTTTGCTATCGGTTTGTGCTGGTGGTGTTTCCTTGTGAATCGGAGGTCAATGAGGGTGGGGGATCAGATGTCGGAGGAGGATTTTCTAGAACTTAAGTTCAGGCTGTACGATGGGTCGGACATCAGGCCGATACGGTTCTCTTCTACATCTACGGTGGCTATTGTCAAGGCAAGGGTCGTTGCAGACTGGCCAAAAGGTTGGGACTTTTTATATTGGGTATTGATATTTTTTTAATTGTATTTTAATGTGATTTTATGGTAGTTTATAGTTGTGGGAATGAGGAAATACTTGTAAATTTTTTTTAGGATGGATTATAGTAGATTTGTCGCTATACGAGTGAGATATATGGGCTTGGATAAACTTTTAAAATTGTAATATAGTGTCCAATTTGGAGTTCAAATCACTTGGTTTTATTGATTTTGATGTCGGAGTTATGTCTAGGATGATGGCGCAGATGGCAGAACATGTTTTCTGCGTGGTGGGTATATTGGTTTATTGCTTAAAAGTAAGTTACGTTTACATGCATTGCACACAATTCTTATGTATTTACATGTCTCAGACCTAGACTTTCATTTTTAGACAAAGCATTCAAATATTTAATATTGCATAAAAAAACAGTACTTTTACCACTTCTAAAAAGTGAAATATATATGCATAGATTTAAAGCATCAAAGTGTATGTGAATATAAAAGTTTTATTGTGAGATTTGTAAATACATAGCAATTGTGCGCTACATGCGTAAATCTTCCTAAAAGTAATTTCTTATTTGAGATTCAAGTAAGTTTCATTTCCATGATTACATGATTTCCTAGCATGGCACATGCACAGCCATAAGCATCGGGTCAAGTTAATGAGGTCATTCTAAGGATCAAAATTGTGTATGAGAAATAGATTGAGTACGGGTTAAAACTTCCTATAGCACAATGGTCACAAATTCTATAGTTTCTTGGTTTTGTGCCACTTATAATTGAATCTTAAATGATTTGCTTAAACATAGTTGTAAAAAACACAAAATAGAGCATGTTGTAGCCTATTATATACCGCCACACAGCTTTCGCTATTGGTTGTCATGTAGAGCTTTGCAAATTATATATAAATGTGTGCATGTATGTATGCATGTATATATGAGTGCATGTAGACATGAATATACTTTTGTGTGCGATAAATGTATATGTGCATGATGTCATGTATATTGTATAATTTGTATAACAATTTAAAATAGTCTTCATGTTCTTGAATGGTTAGTGTTTGGCACAATAAAGCAAACAATAAACATAAACAAATAATTTTGGCTAATTTGCTTGATGATAAGAGTTGGAGCAACTATTAAGATTGTGTAATATCTGCTCATTTACACCCTAGCTATGTGTTATAGTGTATATCACACACTATGTTGTTGGTTTTGTTTTTTTGTAGTTTTTTGCTGTTTTGTTTTACGGGCTTGATAATGAGCTATTTGTTTTGCATGTAGTATCATAAGGGCTTGATTTGGAGAGGCCATCATCGTATTATTCCCATTTGTTTTGATAGACATAGATGATGCTAGGGAGTGATTAATGTAGAAATTATATGATGAGTTTGATGAACAAAATGAATTATTATTTGCTGAACAAAATTTGATATGAAGCAATGTTGCTTTAGCTATTGATTTCTATGAAAGAAGCTCTAGCTTTCAAGGTTGATGTAAAAGAAAAGAAAATGATTCTTCATTTGAAACTTAGCACCATTGTAGATGAACATGAAAATGTTGAGGGTGATGAAGAAGATTATGATTAAGGTGATGATAAGGGTGGGTTATTTTAGTTCATGGTGATAAATTTTGAGATGAAAAAATTCTTTTTTTTAATAAAACATACTTTTAAACAAATTATTCCTTATATTTTGAGCTTGCATTATTTAATATTTTTTAACTTCGTGTGTTGCATCGTTTTATTTGCTAATCTTACTGCTATATTTACCATGATATTTAATATTTTAGCATGACTTTTGTGTTTACCTTTATGTATGTTGAAGTAACTTTATTTTCTATTTGTATGGAATTAATTGTGTGTGTGTATGTGTTTTATTGTTAACAATATTTTCTCTTTGACATTTTTGAATTATTTATAAATTAATCTTGATATTGTATGATTTGCTGTATTTTAAAGTTAGTGCGTGCTTGGTTATATGCTAAATTCTATGGTTCTAGTGAAATCTCTCTCACTAATTTTTTGTTTGACTCGTGCATCTTTCTGTTCATAAGCATTTTATTGGGTTATTTTTTAACCAGTCCTCAGTAAGGTCATCACCTTCCACTTTTTTTCATTATTTGGGCTTTATTTATTTCTTCAGTAAGGCCTTTGTATATTTTCACGGTCAAGTTTGGATCAAACAATGTTGGATGTTAGCTGAGTCACATATTTGACCAATCCTCAGTATAATTACTTTTCGAAGTTATTTTATGTTTCAGGAGTCACATTTTTGATGCGGCCCACTAGAAATATTGCAATTTGTTCTTCTTGTAATGTCTGTTGAGAATAAAAGAGAGATTTCAACATGGACGCATTTTTCATCACCCACAATACTTACTTTGTTCTGATTTGAATTGCATATTTTCTTTTTGAACACAACAAAAAAGTTTCTATTTTGGCATTTGTCTAACTTTGTAATTTCTCTTTAAGTAAAGACATATTTCTACAAATGCAACTTGAACCTCAAACCAATGTCTTCTTTTGCTTTATTTTGATGCATTGAGCAAAACCAAAATTGGAATTGTTTGGTGGCTTTGCTTTATTTAGCTGCTTTGTACAAAACCAAAATAGAAATTGTTTCGTGGTTTTTCTTAGCATGTAACGATATGTAACAATATTTATTCTAGTGACTCTTTATTGTTTATTGGTTATACTCATGCTGATTTGATCAAATTTTTGGAATATTGTCAAAAAGGAGTGTGTTGAACCTGACTTGTGCTTTACTTTTTAATTTTCTGTTTCTAGTTGGCATTTTTATATTGGAGCATTTACATACATACCACACAATTTATATGTTTTTACATATCTAACACCTACATATTCACATTTACATGCATACCAGCCAAATCTTTAACATCACAATCTTTTTAAAAATGAAATTCATGCATTGTCTTATGACGCCTAGATGTTATTCGTGTAAATATCAAACTTCGGGTGTTAGATAAGTAAATACATAAGAATTGTGTGGTATGTATGTAACTTTCCCTTTCATAGGGACATTTACATACATACCACACAATTCATGTGTGTTTACATACCTAACATCTAAATATTCACATTTACATGCATACCAGTCAAATCTTTAACATCACATCTAAAATACGAACATCACTTTCATTTTAAAAATGAAATACACCTTTCGGCCATGAAACAACCTACACTTGTAACTTGTAAACGTCTACTGCAGTAGGGATAGAAATTGTGCATTTTGGGAATTAATCATACATCTAACCAAACGAGGCATACAAAAAAACTTTTTTGCATTGAATTTTGGCTACTTTTGGTACAAAAATGACTTCATTTGCTCTAAGGATTATTTGCTCAGCCTTGTTATACATGGCTGACCTGTCTTTTCTATGTATATTTAAGTTTCGATATGGTATTTTCGAGATAAATGTTATCGTTATTTATCTTTAGGTGCATTATTTAAAATTTGATATAGTACCTTTTTTTTAACAATGATTTTCATTGATATTTTATTTGCTCGTCTCATCTATAGACAAAAAAATCATCCCCAAGTCAGCTACCGACATAAAGCTAATAAGTGATGGGAAAATTCTTGAGAACCACAAGGCGATCACGCAATGTAGACCCTCATTTGGCGAGCTCGCTGGAGGAGTAATTACCATGCATGTAGTGGTGCAGCCATCATTAGGTAAATCAAAAACAGGTATGATTCTCCATTTTATGTACTCCTGTCTGTTTCTAACTTGGGAAATTTACATATGTAGACCACAATTCTTATGTATTTACATCTCACTCCAAAACTTTCATATTTACATACATAGAATTGATGCTTTAAACTATACATGAAAAAGTGTATTTTACTTGTTAAAAAGTGGTAATAATGTTATTTTTTTATGTGCTATTAAAGATTTAAGTGTTATGTGTGTTTATAAATATGAAAGTTAGGCGTTATATATGTAAATTGTGACTATGTAGGTAAATACCCCTTCTAACATTTTTGCATCAGAGAGGTTTGGGGCCTATTTGGCAACATTTTTGTCCTTTTTTTTTTTTAACTATGTTTGTTTGGTGCCATTTTTTTGGTTTATTTAAAAAATAAATAAATCAACTTATTTTATAAACACTCAAAACACATAAAAGATGTTCATAGTGTTTTTAAAAACAATTTGTTCAATCAAACATGTTTTACTTTAAATCAAAATAAAATAAAAACAAATAATAAAGTGATCCCAAATGGCCCCTTGGTGTATTTGCTAAATTAGAACCATGAAAGAGAAATGAATTGCTGCTAATAGGTTTAAGTGCTGTCAGATTCGATGTAGTTCATAAATCCTTCGCGTTAAACATTTTTCTTCAGGAAAACAAATCTCCACACTTTTTAAATATTAAGGATTTCAATCCCCGGTCCATGCTATATAAATGAATTTCAATTTGCAGTTGTTCTTCGGAGTTTTATTATACTTCGTGATGGTGAAACTTATATAATACATGTATGGAAATTTATATAAGTGCAACATAATGCTTAAGTATTTACATTTCCAACACTTAAAATTTCATATTTACATTTATAACACTCAAAATTTTAACATCACATTAAAAAAATCACCATTATTAACTTTTTAAAAATGAAATACTCCTAAGTTAATGACACCAAAGGGCTACAAGTTTAAACATCGAACTTTCGGTGTTAGAAATGCAAATATATAAAAATTTGTGTCATATGTAAATTTCCATATATATGTATATATGTATATATGTATATATATATGTATATATGTATGTATGTGTATATATATATATATATATATATATTTATAATACACGCACACACATTCATGATGTTTCTTGTTAATCTTTCGTTTCCTATAGGGCTATAAGTTTATATATCAAACTTTAGTTTTTAGATGTATATATATATATATATATAGAGAGAGAGAGAGAGAGAGAGAGAGAGAGAGAGAGAGAGAGAGAGAGAGAGAGAGAGAGAGAGAGAGAGAGAGAGAGAGAGAGAGAGAGAGAGAGAGAGAGAGAGAGAGAGAGATCTATGTGCACGCGTGCACACTTGCATGTTGTTTCTGGTTAAAGCTTGGTTTCCTTGAATATGGAACGTTTTCATTTTGCGCGATCAATTTGCTTCTATATATTTACATAAAAAATTGATATTTATATTTGTGAGAACTTGCAGAAAAGGAGAGAATATTTTCCATACTGTACTCCCTGAATGGAGAATTTAATTTTTTAATGGCGGTTCATAGAGGGGTTTGTCAATGAACTGAACTCTAGTAAACTCAGCTTAGCTCCTGTTTTACCTAACACAACTATGAGAAATCTTTGACCTCTTCCTTAAGCTAAGATAAATATTAAAATAACCACCGGGCCATCAGACTTGCTTTGAAAAGTAGGCCATTGAAGTAGCATCTTATGAATTTTCCAATTTTGTACCTGTCTATTTGACTTAATCTTCATGAAACTTCACTGTAATTATTTGATCTATTGGCAAAAAATAATTCACAAAGGGTAAAAACGTAGAGTTTCAGAATTCACATCACTCTTTTATACACGACCAACTCTTCAGTAGCTGTAATTTAGCGAAACAAAGGATTAACGATCATCTGTAATTTTTTATGTCTGTGCAATTTGTGTACAAGATCCTATGTTTGCGTGTTCATCATCTACTTTGATTGTGTAGTCAAGGACATTTTTATTTAATATGATAATTGCCATCCTTATGCGCTTATGCGGTCAATTCTTCTTCCTTCTTTTTTTTTTTTTCATCTTGTTTTTAAAACTCAACATCATTGATCCCTTTCATGCTATGAACTTGATCCTATTTCCCTTCTCCCGTGTGGCAACAGAAATGCACCTTTCAATTCTTCTCTTTGGAAGCTCTAGTTTTTTCTGCTAAAAGAGGTGTATCAGTGTTCTATATATGTGGTGCATAATTTTTTCATCGTAGGCTCCAATACTTTTCTATATAGAGATTTGATATTGTCTCATCTCGGTGGTGTGTTTTACCCTTCTGAAGCTCCAATGCTTTCTTAACATGAGGCTTTCTGGTCGGCGGAAAAAGCAATGCATTGTATTTCTTTTGCATGGGCATTCAGAATTTTGGCATTTGGTTCGCCGAATTCCAAACACACATTAAAATATGAATGCATTGAGCATTTATTCCTGAGGTCATTTTCTCTATATTTGGAATTCGGTGGATTTGGCCAATTTCCAAGTTGTCGGCTGCCTTCAGGCGACCGGCGGTGGGGGTGCCGACGGCCGCCGCAGCCCGCTGCCTCCGGCCGCCATTGGCGAATGCATTATCTTTTAAATATTTGAAATACCTTATTTTCATTTTACTTTAAACAAAAAAAAAAGAGGTGGTTTGTTTATTTTGCACTGAACCGAACAACTCCAAAGAATTTTAAATGCAATACATTACTTTTACATAGCATTCATTTTACGTTGCTTTACTTTTTCAACAAACCAAACAGGAGCATATGAAACTATCATGCATAGTTAGAGTTTTGAGCGACTCTAAATTAGACTTCATCCCTGAGTGATTGTCAGATCAATTCGCCATCACATTTTTATTGTGTGGACATAGAAATGTTAACAAGGAGAGCTCCAGTGCTTCTTTAAGAAGAGTCCCTAATTATCCTATATAGACGGACTTGTGAGTTCATTCAAAATTTGGCGCTTAGTCTATAAGTGATAGTTATACCAATTTATCATCATCCTTAATGTGATTATAGATAAATATTAAGAAGGAGAGCTCTCTAGAAAATTAGTAGCAATTTGCACAATATCTTTATTACGTTTAGGGGCACACGCCTACATAACACATTTTTATTGTATTTACGTATCTAACTCTTAAACATAATTCATATTTATATGCTTACCACTTAAATCTCTTACATCACATTAAAAATATCATCATCGCTAGTTCTTTAAAAGGGAAACACACCCTTACATGCATAAGTTTATGCAATAGGATGTTGGAATGTAAATGTCTAGACTCTCAAGTGTTAGATAGGTAAATACATAAGACTTGTGTGGTAGGGAAATAAAAATTTTGAAGTTTTTTCCTAGGTGTAGATAACATTTTGGGCTACATTCAGAATGTTTTTTCTTGTAAAAATGTTATCATTTAGTAGGGTGAAATAATTATAAATAGCAATTTTTTTTTTAAATCTGTCATTCCTATTACTAATTTTTTTATTTATTTATGCTTGTTTCATATCTCCAAGAGATTTATTTTGATAAATAAAATTTTCGTAAAAAAGTTAAATTATTTTTTATTTTTATTTCCAAAAAATATCCTTTAATCACAATTGGTCACTATTTTCTTTGCCAAGTTATCGCTCACCTTAAAGTTGCATTATGGTCCAAGATTGGTGCTGCTTTATTTTTTTTTTGGGAAATTTACACATGTTAGCACACAATTTTTTTGTATTTACATATCTAACACTTATAATTACTTTTATAACATTTTGGTGTCATAAACATATCTAACAACAACAACTACAAGCCTTTATCCCACTATGTGGGGTCGGCTATATAAATTCTTTTGTTTCATTGCGTCATATTGAGCATCATATTTTCATTTAATTCTAATAAATTAAGATCATTTTTATACAATATACCCAAACCCTTCCCGGTCTACCTCTGCATTTCTTAACATAAGTCAAATCTAATATATTTACTCTTCTAATCGGATCATCAGATTGTTGATGTTTTATGTGACCAAACCATCTAATATGACTCTCTCTAATTTCGTCCGTCATTGGAGTTACACCAACCCTTACAATGATATATTCATTTCGCATTTTGTCTCTAAGTGTAAATCCACTCATCCACCTAAGCATTCTCATCTAGACAACACTCAATTTAGTTTTATGCTTCTCTTTTAAAGGCCAACATTCAGCGCCATAGAGCATTGCAGGTCTCACCACCATCTTATAAAATTTTCCTTTCACTCCAAGTGATACTTTTCTATCACACAATATACTCAAAGTATTTCTCCACTTTAACCAACCAACTTGAATTCTACTAATTATATTCCCATCTATATCACCATCACTTTGAACAATAGACCCGAGATATTTAAAGTCTTCACACCTTTTAATAATTTAATCACTCATAATTACGACTCTGTCACTAGAGCCACTACTACTACTAATAAAAATTACATTTCATGTATTCAATTCTAGTTCTACTCAAATGAAGGCCTTTAGACTTCAATAGAGACCTCCATAATTTAAGTTTTTCCTGAGCTTTCTCTCTAATCTTATCCACGAGAATGATTTCATCAGCAAAAAACATTGATTAAAAGGATTCATGTCATTATTTTTGACAAATTTTACGCTGGTTGTCCACTACCTAACACAACCCTCTACCTCTCACATTTGGGCCTTGGGATGCAGTAATATTGCCGTAAACATGCATGAAAATTTTAATTCTACTGTCAAAAAGTTAAACTCGCAATATTTTAGAAGTGATATGAATGTAAAGAAGTAAATTTTTGCTGATATTTATGTAAATATATAAGAATTGGACTATTATGTATGTAAAAGCCCCTATTTTTAGCTTCTTCGATATCAGGATTTGCAAACTGCATAAATGATATTCCAACTAAATCTTTTTTTTATTATTATTTTACAGAGAAGAAAGTGGAAGACCTGCCAAAGAAACCCAGATGTTCATCATGCACCATCTTATAATTCACAAGAAGAACAGAGATTTAGCTCTATTTTCACTGCTGCTGCTGCTCCTGCATCTATCTTCTATTCAATTAGACAGCTAAATGAACAGCTTTGAAGAACACATCTGCAGCAACCTCCAGTTAGGACTATTCCTGCTTGCCATTAGTAAAGTCCTTTAGGCTTCAAATGTACTGATTGTAATATTATATATCTATATCCGTATTAGTGCCAGTAAAAATAGATTGTTCGGTTCAATTGAAAAAGTCTCTTTTGATTGAATCTTCTGACTTTTATTGAAATCTCATGAAAGTTTCTGTTTTATCATCATATTACTATTGATGCTGAGTTCGAAGATGGAGTTGCTTCTGATTGATTTAAGGGGCATTTAAAGTTAATGATTGGATGATGATTATGGTTATGCGCATGAATTTTTGGATAGAGCTCTAGATATCTTTAAATCTCCGTATTTTTTTAATAATTTAAAGTCTTAAATTAAGGGTCCATTTGGGGCGGCTTATAAGCGCGGGTGGTGTTTTTAAAACGCCGACGTACTGTTTGGTTCGTGCGTTTCACCAGTTTATCCGAAACTGTGTTTGAGTTTTTACATTAAACGTAGCTTATCATGAAACGCACAAGCTGTCCCAAACGGACCCTTAGAATCTCATGACAAAACTGAGTCTCTTTATAATTTTGGAAGTTTGATTTTTTTTAATAATGTTAACTAATGTCAGTTAGACTTTCTAATATGGATGATCTTTTTTATTTTTGGATTTTATGTGTGTGTGTGTGTGTGATATATTTATATATACTATTTTATTATGAAAATAATGATATTAAAAAATATCTTAGCTTTCACAGTTAATTATGTCACATTATGATAACTCTTTTTATCATTTTGACTGAAACCTTATTAATTTGTGTCATGTTAAACTTCTGTTTAATATTCTCAATAATCTATTTAACCTTATTATTATGTCTTTATTAAAAAAGTCACGGTAACTTATATTTCTGAACATTGTAATGCTTTTTCTCTAATATATATAACTTATCCTCGTGAAGATTGAATGTAGCTCTCTTAAGTCTTTGAAATTTTAAATAACTAAGGGCTTCAAAAAATATTTTTTGATGATGATAAATGGTGTATTGAAATCATATAGATTCAATCATATAATGCATTAAAATAAAGCTTTATATGTTTTATAAGAAATTTAAAATTTCTTAGAATGTTAATATTATCTAAGTTTTTGTCCTCTTAGAATTTGCACTTATTTTTTATGAATTATTTTTTAGTGCCGATTTAATGTACCATTATCCTCTCATCAAAACTTTATCAGAAGCATTCATTTCAGAGATTTCAAGTAAAAACCTATCTCACATGCTTTTATTGGATCTTTTTCTACGAAATAATTACTTATAATTTAATTTGTAAAAAAAATTACTATCTAGAAATGAAATCATTATGGTATAATTTAGTTTAGATAACCCAGTATATATAAGAGATTACAAAAAGTTTTCATTCCCTTATAAGTGAATTATACAGAAATACATCTTTGAGAATGTTCGCTTTGTCTTTTGTGATTATAGTAGAAATTACAGAAAAAGTCATGAAAGAGTGATGACAATTGAGAGATGACGGTTGTATGACAATGATTTAATGATTATGACAAAAAAATAATTATCGAGATATGATGCTCTTATGATAACATATATCATGCAACACTGATTGAGATATAGTGTCAAATGTTAATGACTGAATGGTGGTGGAGATAATCACTGGTGTTGACCGCAGCACATAATTTTAGAATTCTCTAGATTTAGAAATTCTTACCAATTTAGATTGTTTGGCCATATAAAAATGTGTCTTATCATAATATCTCAGAGTTATGTTTTGGTTATTTTTAACATGTGTATCAAAATACTCTATTAGATAACATTAATTGTTTATTTTTATTTAAATTTATTTACTTGGCTATTTAACAACTTAATGATATTGTAATTAAGTGATGTCGAACTTGGCAGTTTTTATTTAAGCATGTAAAATTCACAAATAATTTGATCCTTTAATTAATGTCACAAAAATTTAAACCATACATGTGTTTAATTTTGACTCATTTGGACTCAGATTATATCAACATAATATTTTATATACTATTTTCATGTTCTATTCTTGGGGAGAGTTTTTTGCGCAAAATTAATGTAAACTCTCTTCAGCATTTTAAATTTATAGCGTCGATGAAATAATTATGATTAATAATAAAATGTTATTAGTTGACACTAATTTAATTAAGGTGGCCTTGATGGCAGATTTCTGTTAGGAGCATCCAACGGCCAAGATGTTCTGCCTGAATTAACCAAAAGGGCCATGTATATATACCCAAACCGCATAGTCTCTTCGTTCAAGTGCTCCCCATTCTCCCGCCGTCGACGAAACCCTAACTCGAGCCGTCTGTCATCGAAGCGAGATGGTATGATTCTTTCTTCTTTCTCAGTTAAATCCTTTGCTTGAGTGAGATTTTTGGCTTTATTTCTATTGAGATCTACATTCCTGCAGTTCTGGATGGAAATGATAATTAATTTGTTTTCTATTTGGTTCCGAGATTTATTATGTTCCTAATGACGCAGGCTCCCAAGAGAGCAGGGAAGGCGCCGACTGCGGTGAAGAAGAAGACGGTAGATTTAGTTTTTATATCGTTTTTAAGGGTTTGATGTTATGTTTATGCATGCGGCTTTTATATTCTTTATGTTTTGCAGGAGAAGGTCGTGAACCCTCTTTTTGAGAAGAGGCCTAAGCAGTTTGGGATTGGTGGGGCTCTACCTCCTAAGAGGGATCTTCATCGCTTCGTGAAATGGCCTAAGGTAGTGAGAATCCAGAGGCAGAGGAGGATCCTCAAGCAGCGTTTGAAGGTTCCTCCTGCGATTAATCAGTTCACGAGGACTTTGGACAAGAACCTTGGTAATCATTTATCTGGTATTTTGGTATCAACTATGAAGTTAGTCATGGAAGTGTAGTTTATGGATGGGGTATCTGCTTGCGCGCAGGACTACTTCTGAACTCCAATAATTTGGGAAAATCTTTTGTTGTCACTAACTTATAGTTAATGTTTATAATAGTGCTCTATTATCTTCATCTTATAAATAGAACGTGATTATCATGATCAGATATGTACAAGGAACGCAGCTTTGTGCTATTTAGCAAAGATTTGGACTCAGAAATTTCTCTTTAAGATATACTCTTTTAATTCGTTATTTTGGTTCCCAGTGGCGTACTGATTAATTTATTTAGTCGAAGATTCCTTTGTAAACTGTAGCCAGTTTTAAAAGTTTTTTTTTTTATTGGAAAGAATTTGTTTAATGATTCGTTAGTGTGATGATTTTAAGCTTTAGATCAACTTGACAATGTTCTGGTTATGCCTCTTTTAACAAGCTGATGTGCATATTAATTAGATTTTGATTAGGAATGATGCAACCAGATTTTATGTTTTCTTCATTTTAATCAAACCTGCCTTCACAACATTCCGATAATTATTCTTCTATGAAATCTCCCAAAAAAAATTCCTAACATTAAACAATCATAAATTTATCCAGAACCATCAGAATTATTGATCGTGTTCATCGAAATCATCTTTTGAGGACTCATGGATGATATCTTAGGAAGAAAAATGTTTGCAATCTAATTAACTTTCACGTTGACATTATCAGATCTAATGCGCTCTCTGGCAATGTTAAATTGGGCAGTGATCATTTTTTTAGACCATGGGAAGGATTGTACTTGAATTAAATTTATTTTCGTGAGAAGTAGTCAGGTTGTGTGCGAGTAATTCTTTTATGAAATAATAAATTAGGAATTCGTGTCAATTTAAGCTAATCGGTGATGTTTGGAGATTTGACATGACTTATATTGAAACACTTTAACTTTTATTTTATTGAATAATGAAGGAAAGACGGATTATAATATGGTTAAAGACTGTTGATTCATCGAATTACGAAAGATCTAAATTTGAGCCGCTTTTGTATTTAGTTTATCTAATCAATAAGATAGAAGAATATGATTATTACTATTTTTATCTAGATATTAGAGCCCTCATTCCTTATCATGCTCGATCATTTTGTAGTTCATTTTTCAAGTAAATGAGATTGAGTTATTTTATTATTACTCATGGTATTTGGATGCTATATCCTCGCTTATTAGCATTCCAATCATTTGTAGTTTAAGTTAGATTTTAATTTTTTGGGTAATTATAAGTTCATTATGGTTTAGTAGGTAGATGATAAAGAAAGAAAATATTCGAGTTTTAAACATTTTTGTGGTGTAATAATAGCTAAAGTTTCATAAACTACTTTTATTTTTGGCTTTACTCGGCATGGTATATATGAAGATCATTCGGTGGAAGGGCTTTTTATGTGATTTGTTTCTTTGAATCTATTTTAAACAAGCATTTGTTATGGAATTTGAATACTCGTCTTATTGAGCCATAAAGTACGTATTCATTAATTTATCAAAAGCTTTGAAGTTGTAGAAGTTTTAATATTTTTTATTGTTCTAGTCCCTTTGATCTATGCATCCATTTCTTATTTTTCTTTTGTAGAAAAGTCTTGTATGGAGGCCTCTTTTGAGCCTTTTATATGCCTTTTGTTTGTCTTCTTTTTTTATAATAGTTACAAAACATTCATTCTCGATTAATTGGTTTTTGTATCCTTTGTTTGGGGTTGAATGTTTCTATTCTGCTAGCCTTTAATGTTGAGGCATTAATAAGGTGGCACTCTCACCAACGAATGGTGTTTTTAATCCTCCTCACTTTTAATGGTGGAAAAACTTTATCCAGTTCCAAATATTTGGATATGTTCTCGGTTAAATTCTAGTTTGACCAGAAATTTATTAATTCTTTTTTCTTAATATAAAAAGCTTATAGCATAGCATTATAGTGACCGCATTATGACATAAAATTTCATTTTATTATTGGGGCAATTGAATACATAGCACTCTCAAAACATTATTATTTATAAAACTAGCACTCTTTCACTCATTTTTTAAAGTATGGGTAGAAATCAGAAAAAAAAAAGACAATTATATGTAATTGCCTCTATAGTTAATTTTGTGAATTTGTTTTTCACCCTAAAGCACAAAATTTTGGTGAATTTGGAATTCACCATGCAATTTAACACTGGTATATTTCAATATTATTAGATCTAAATACCCTGCTAACTGCAGCTTACTGTCGCCTTGGTTTACATTAATTTCATTTTTTTTAAAATCAAACACAAAAGTATAAATTTCTGCATTTACTTTACACCAAACCAAACAACTTCAAAAGTATGTTAAATATACTATGTTTCAGTTACACTGTTCCTTTTCACCCTTTTGCCTTCTTTCTAATCATATTTTGAAATTTAGGCTGTTCCCTTATTCATTATCTGATATTCTTTGTAGCAACAAACCTGTTTAAGATGCTCCTGAAGTACAGACCTGAGGATAGAGCTGCGAAGAAGGAACGCCTTCTCAAACGTGCACAAGCCGAAACTGAAGGAAAGGTTGTGGAGTCCAAGAAGCCAATTGTTGTCAAATATGGCCTTAATCATGTTACCTATCTCATAGAACAGGTTCGTTATTCTGTAATTTTAGGATTATTTACATTCATACCCATAATTTCAATGTATTTACATATCATTGACCTAAACTTTCATTTTTATATTTATATAACTTTACTTATGCATGGAAATATGTTTTTAAATTATAAAATGCTTGTAATAGTGGTGTTTCTTTTATGTTATATGAAAGAGTTGAGTGTTAATATAAATATTAAAAAAGAAAATTTTAATGTTAGGTATGTAAATACAAAAGAATGTAAATGCCCCTTAATTTTATTTTCATTTGGAGCCAATTTATGCACTGCGATCTTTTTTTTTAATATATATATTTTTTCTTACATCATATGTTTTAGAATAGTTAATAGAAAAATTGGCAGACATCGTACATACCACACAATTCTTATGTATTTACATATCTAAGACCTTAATTTTTATATTTACTTTTATAACTTCTGGTGTCATAAATTTATGCATGATGGCGTGTGTTCCACCTTTAAAATGCAAGTAAAAGTGTTATTTTTAATGTGATATTAAAGAATTGAGTGTTATGTTATGCTTGTAAATATGAAAGCCTAGGTGTTAGAATGCAAATACGTAAGAACTGCGTGCTATATATGTAAATGGCCCTAGCTGAACTTTTTTCTACGTATTATTTGAATTTCCACGATGAAATTCATTTTTTTTTAATCAGAACAAGGCCCAGCTGGTGGTTATAGCTCATGATGTAGACCCAATAGAGCTTGTGGTTTGGCTTCCAGCATTGTGCAGGAAGATGGAGATCCCTTACTGCATTGTGAAGGGAAAAGCTCGGTTGGGAACAGTAAGTGTTTGTTGAATTTTTTTTAATATAAATGCCGTTAAACTCATTTTATTTTATTTTATTTTTTATTACGTTTTCCATAGATTGTCCACCAGAAAACCGCTGCGGTATTGTGCTTAACAACTGTGAAGAACGAAGACAAGCTTGAGTTCAGCAAAATCTTGGAGGCTATTAAGGTGATTACTTGACTAATTTTTACAATTGTTAGTAAAAATAATGAAGATTTACATACATATCAGTCAATTCATATGTATTTACATGTCTTAACGCCTAAACTTCAATTTTTATAATATATGCCACCTTCCTTATCTATTCATGAGGTGTAATTCCCACAAAACCAATAAAAAAAAGAAACCTTTGTTTCAATATCACATTCAAGCTGTGATCTAGTTGTGAAAAATGCTTCTGACCAAAAAGCACTTTTTAAAAATATATAGCATTTAAATTTTGATATTTACTTGTATACTACACAATTTTTAATCATTTGCATGAATATCATTTAAAATTTGATATTTATTTGTATAACATTTTAGTTTCAAATTCTCATGATGTTAAAGATTTGAGTTTTGTTTAAATAAATATTAAAATACTCTTAATTTATCTCCTTGTGTATATTTCTTTGAATATAGGCCAACTTCAATGACAAATTCGATGAGATTCGAAAGAAATGGGGAGGAGGAATTATGGGTTCGAAATCTCAGGCCAAAAGTAAGGCCAAAGAGAAGCTCCTGGCTAAAGAAGCTGCTCAGAGAATGAGTTAGGTTTATATATTATTATAGCTTTTCTATATTCAAACATTATGTTCTTTCTGTAGATTTCAGTTTTTTGAGCTGAGAATGTCCTTTCAGACTTCACAATTTTAACTTTATTAACTCCTCTTTTCTGATTGTTTAATGTTTTTGTTTGATGTCTAACGTCCTGTCCTCCAAATTATTTTGTCCAAATTATTTTGCTGATAATCCCGCATGGTAATTAGCATTGTTGTTTGTGATGAGCCGAGTTTGAGCAAGCTAAGTGCTTGTTCGTGTTTGACTCGTTTGTAGTTTTTTTTTTTTTTTACTTGAAATGGACTTTTGTTCAAAATTCTTGTGAATAGCATGTTTGTGTTTGGTTCGATTCAAAATTGGTTTTGTTTGTTTTAGCTCATGTTTGGCTTGCAATGATTTAAAAAAAAATTAAAATTTTAAAGATGACAATTAAAAAGTACTTTTCTTAGAAAAAAAATATTCAACATAGGTGGGTGAGTTATTTTGATAAATTTTTTAATGAAGTTTCTGAAAATACGATCGACCTTAGTGATCTTAATATCTTGAATAATAATAAAACGTTTCATTTTTACCGCATTCGTAAAAAAGATGTTGAGGAGGCTTTAAAGAAAATCAATGGTAGAAAGTCTGTAGGATCTGATGATATCCTAATTTAAGTGTGGAAATATTTAGGATGGAAATATTTATCTCGGCTTACTAAACTCTTTAATATTATTTTAAAAACTAAAA